TTTCTTTTTTTAGTGTTTCGTAGTTCTCCCTGTATAAGTCTCTTACATCTTCCGTTAAATATATTCCTAGATATTTAATTTTCTTTGAGGCTATTGTAAAAGGAATTGCCTTTTTGTATTGTATTCTAATTGAAATGGAATATTCATTTTGTAGCTATTGTGTGTCTGTCATATACATAATGTAGCATGTCCTATAAAGATGACAGTGAATAAACAGTGTTGGAACCAACTCTTCAGGGAATGTACAGTTTACTGGATTGGAGTTAAGGTGTGAACATAAATAACTATGAATTTTAATAAGTACAATGAAAGTTATTTCAGAGAGAAGAGAGATTACTTGGAATGATCTGGATAGGTGTTAACTTCGCTTTAAAGGATGGTTCTTGTTTCTACTGATAGAAGAGACATGGAGACATCCCAGTTGGAAGAAATAGCACAAATAAAGGTGCAGAAATGAAAAGTAGAAGGCATACAGAGGGGATGGCTAGTAGTAGATGGATAGAGCACAAATTTCATATAATAGTAATAAAATTGGAGTCTGGGACAATAGTTTTGAGCTTAGAGCCAGATTTTAAATCATTGAAAATGAGGCTTATGTATTTGGACTTAATTCAGAGGGCATTGGAGAATCATTAATGTTTTGTATAGAATCAAGCGATAACTGAAGCAAGGTTGAATTCATGGGCATGCAAGGTATTTTGTAGATGCACGAATCATATAGATTAGGACTATTGTGGCAGTTATGAATGATTGAGTAAGGACCTGAGTTAGGGTGGTAAGGTAGTATTACATCATATTTGTGATGTAATATGGACTCTGGAATCAAAGTACTCAATTTCAGACCTGATCCTGACCTTTACTAGGTCTATGTTTTGGAAAGATTACTAAGTTAACTCTTGTCTTTTATAAAAAGGTGATAATTATTGACGTCTACCTCTTTGGGTTGTTATAAGGTTTAGATGAGGTGATATGTCTAAAAATAAACGACACAGAGTAAGTAATAAATTGCTAGTATTACAACATACTTGACATTAAATGTTCTAAGGAAGGAGAGATCAGAGGTAACTGTAGTTTGAGCTTTAGTATCAAGAGAAATAGCATCATAAGAACGATGAATCAGGTGGAGTTCATTTTAGGAGGAAGTATTGTGATTTTAGTTTTATGAGGGTCAGTTTTGATGTACCAGTGTGACATCTAGGTGTAAATACATAGCCTGCTGTTGGACTAGAGCTTCAAGGGAGAAGTCAGTCTAAGGTATGCTATTTGTTTGTATTCATATCCTGATAAAACACTTAAATTTATACTATGTGATGAACTTCAAAAATATATTTATGCATTGTTTTTTGTTTGTTTTTATTTCAGCATATTACGGGGGTACAGATGTTTAAGTTACATATGTTGCCCTCCCCCCCATTTATGCATTGTTAATAAACTGATAATAACAACAATCACATTACATGATCAAGTTTTATTTCACCCATGAAAAAATAACTTATTATAGGGATTCCAAAGAAGCTCATGGACCCCTAAGAGGGAGAGGTACATCCAGAACAGATAAGGGAAGCAGAAAGTCATCAGGAACTAACATGATTTCTCTCTAGTTTGACCTACTGAGCAATATAATATTGTCTTTCTTATTTTCTCTGAACTTTCGTTTCTTTCTCTTTTCTTAATATAAACTAATTTTCTTTATTAATGACCCAAACATTACATTCCCAGCCTCCCACATTTTCCCAGATCAAGAAATTTGATTCAAACTCCCAGTTAGAAATCTCTGTTTAAGAGAAGGCTTGACTTGGACCCCTTGTCCAATTAACTATGTCTAATAATAGAGGCATGTAGCCTATCACTTACCAATGAAACTATTTTTAGTGTTTGTGAGGGCAGTTGTTCACAGAAAAGACTATGGTTAGTTATTTAAGGCAAGTATTTTAAATTTTAACTGTCCTTAAGCTTTTAAGATTAACTTACAGATACTCCCTTTAGAAATCTAGTACTTTTAATAGTCACTTTCAAGGAGATGTTTAATTAATGTATGAAAAAGTTCATTTAAGTTGAACAGACCAAATTTTTTCAAAGTTCCATTTACAATTCAAATTACTTTAAACAACTTAACATCATTTATACATTTACTGTATCTGATATTCTTTTAAACAGCCCTTAGATCGCTTGACCCAACAAACTTCTAAGTGTTTAACTCTTATAAGAAATTAAACATATAGTGGCTTTCTAAGTTCTCTGAAACATTTCAGTATTTTCACTGGCTTAATAATATTTCAAAATACCTTTCAACAAAAATCACAAGTCTGAATGCATTTTAAATTAGAATCTTAAGGCCAGCATCTCTTACTTTATGCCAATTATGTTTAAATACTTCAAATAGCAAATGCTAAACAATTTGATCCAATGAGTATAAAAACTATTCTTGTACTCAACAAAAAGTATTGATGACTATTGGAATTGTTTCCTAACCTCTCTGAAAGTTTCTAATCATTATGTATTTCATTTAAGAACTGTAGCACACAGTCAAGTTTTGTTAAAGGGAATAAGTATACTGGTAGGTAGGCTAGTTCACATTGCTAGGGTGATGAGAAACTTGTGGACTTCGGTATTTGATTAACTACTTTGGTTAGTTCAATATTAAATGATAATACCAATCTTGGATGGTTGTAGTGAGGATCAAATGAAACATATGGGAAAACCCTTGGCACGTAGAATACAACTGATGGCAGCTATAACATGATCTATTCTTAAAGTCTTCATGTTTCACTCCTAATTTTATCCTCAACTAAATAAAACACTATATTGTAAGCTCCTTTAGAGCACAGACTATACTTTTTTTTTGTTCACCATTATATTCACAATACCTAGTAGTATAGTATAGATATAAAGACACCCTCAGTAAATATCTTTTGAGCGAATGAATGCTATATCCTCACTTTGCAGATGGGCAGAGGGACAAACAAAATGTGACTTGCCTAAGTTACACAGGTTGTTTGTGGAGCCAACGTTGGCTGTAGGTCTTTTGACTCCTAGCTTTTATCAATTGGTATGGAAGGTAAAAGTTTATAAAACAAATACTTTTCATAAATAAATGGTAGCATGATTTGTACATGGCTATGTCATTTTCTAGAGAATCATTTCAGTTGTATCAAATTTATAGAACAAATACAGGAAATTACAGTGTGACACAAAAAGAAGATCATGGAAAAATAATCATTGAACTTTATGGATTTTCATAAAAGATAAAAACATTTTATGCTGTTTGCTTTCTCTTTTTTTTTATAGGGGCATTACTCTAGTGTGCCTTAATTGTGATTTCGTAACTGATGTTTCTGGCTTAGATAATATGGCTACACACTTAAGTCAACATGAAACTCATACTTGCCAAGTTGTACTAGAGAAAGGTATGTATATATAACTGTGCTATTTTGGATTTTTTATATTTATTCCAGTATTTTTTTGTTAACCAAAATATGGGTTCTTTACTGAATCATTATTCTCACTCATGATATTTCATATGCTGTTGTAAATATAAAACTTCTCTTCTAATTTCAGTTTCTGTTTGTATCCCAACTTCTGAACACCTTTCTGAGTAAGTTTGATTTTTATTCAGTGCATTTTACTTTGATGGATTAGCACTATTGCATTTTAAATGTATCATTAGTAGCAATGAAAAATATTAAAGTATTTTGTTTTTTGTTTTTTTTTTAAAGCTGCTTGTTGAAATAGGTTCCTGCTCTATGGAGCTCATGACCTGGTGCAAGACAAGTTGGAATTTCCTAAGTTCAAAGTTCTGAGATGTTTTCTTACACAAAGGCAGTTGAGCAGCCAAGTTCATAACACTAGCTCTCATTATTTAGCTCTTTTCAGCCTTCAAATGGGACTAGATTCTTATTCCACCTTATCTTTGTGTCAGGTTGACATATCTTAATATATAGTTTTTTCTCCAGTTGGTGCTCTCTAAAAATAACTTTCGTTGCTATGGTCTTTTCTTACATTGCTTAAAATAATTTGTGTGTTTCTCTGCTGTACTTGCCTTAAGAATAATACATTCCAAATGATATGGCTGTTTGTCTTTTTGTCTGTTTTGTTTGCTTTCTTAATTTCTTATAAGTCTTAAGTTTTTAGGCCAGATGATTGTCTTTTTCCTCATTCGTTGTCTGTCATTGTGCTATTTTTCTTATTTTTCAGATGCAGAAGCAGCCCAGAGATTTCAAAAAATGTCCAGGGTACACCTGGACAGTGTCCCCCTTCGATGGACACAACTGATGCCTGTTCTCTCTTTCCAAGGAATGTGAATAATTTGACTGTGGGGCCTGCTCTAGGTTGTGGCCTCAAGAAATCAGATCTTGGGGAGACTCCCTTCCTTCATGGCTGGCCTCCCATAAGGCTGATGCTGATTTGGCCAGAGATGGCCTCAAGGCCCACCAAATTGAGCACACTTCCCACTGGGGGCTTTGGCTCATGACCTTAAGCTTATGAATCATTTATGACCAAGAAAAGCCCATCAAATCAGTGCTTCAACATTCAAGTTGAAGTTTAGTCATTTTGGCTGCTGCCCTTAAATCTTTCTCTGGCATGAATGCAGTCCAAGGAATATAAAAATTCTGGTTGTTAGGAAACCATGGCTACTTTCGTATCCTTGGAACAACAGGGCTCTACCATTATGTTCCAAAATTGCAATTATTTTTACTGATATTTAATATATATTAAGCAGTATTAACTCCATAATTTTTCAACAATAGCAATTCTCAGATTTTGATTTTTAAAAATTTTAATTTAATTTTAATAGCTTGGTTTTATGTTCTCCAAATTTATTGATGTCTATTTTATGATGTCTGTTTTTATATTCTTTTCTTTAAAATTTGTTTAGTGTTTGCTTTGTTTTGTTAAGAACTCGAAGAGATTCCTTAGAATTCTCTACATATTTCATATAGCTGCCTATTATTTGTAGCTTTTTAATTTGGCTGTTACTCAGATCATTAGACATTATTATATCCTCTGTCCTATCAGGATTATTATTATAATCTTAATTGTGAGTTCTGAGGTGTAAAGAATTGGCAAAACTTTCTTTTGCAGACCTTAAAAACAAATTTTAAAGTTATATATTTGTACGTCTAGTGTGTAATCTATTTGGCTATTAATGTAGTTCCTTTCGGTAAAGGTAACATATTAAAAAAAAATATGTGGTAACCAATAATGCATGTGTTTCTTTCCTATATATATTTTAAATTGGGCATTTGTTTATGTTAGTTACATTAAATATAGATCTAAACATTTTGACACTATTATTTTCTTTTAATAAAAAATTGTAAAGTGCCTCAGGAATTATTTGCTAATGAATAAAAGCTATAGATATTATCTTATAAATAGGAGCATTGCTTTAATTGTCATAGGGAAGCCTTGTTACTTGGCCTGCAGACAGAGAACTATATTGATTTAGTAGACCTTGCATTTTTTCTTCTAGCACAATTAAAATGTTACTATTTATACCATACTAATTTCTCAAATTTTAAAGACTAGCAAAATGCCTTTTGTGGTCTTAATCCATAAGGGTAGGCAGGCTCTGAAATAATGACTCAATTGTGGTTTTTTACTCTAGAATCAGAACTTTTTAATTTGTATTTTGAAACAAATTTAAAGCCAGTTTATATGACCACTTATTATGTAATGTGTTCCTTGCAATTAATAATCAAAAAGTTGAATCTATTAATTTTACATTTCCAAAGTAATTTTGTATTGTAAATGGAAAATTTTCTAAAATCTCCAAAAGTGGCTTGCTCTTTAGTAGTGGACTTAGTGATATACTAGTCTTTTTTTCCTTATCTGTCTCTAGGAGTTTTTGTTATCTGCCTTCTTTCTACCCAATTTTTAAAAATTTTGCCAAGAAATAGCAACTTCTTTCCATCTTTAACATTAGCAGTATAGGAGTACAGTCGGCCCAACATATCCTTGTATTTTGTATCCTCAGATTCAGGCAACCACAAATCAAAAATATTCAGAAAATTAAAACAATAAAAAATAACAATACAACAATAAAAATACAAATAAAACTACAGTATAATAATTATTTACATAGCATTTACATTATATTAGTTCAGTAATCTAGTGTGGGAGGATGTGTGGGGTGGGGCGGGGGTGGGAGTAGTCCTGGAACCAATCCCCTGTGGATACCAAGAGATGACTGTACTGCTTTGTGTTTTTACATAGGATTCTATTTTTCATAATGTGTACCAAGTTCTTAAAGCATGAACTCCTTTTTTTTTTTTTTTTTTTTTGGAGACAGAGTCTCACTCTGTTGCCCTGGCTAGAGTGAGTGCCGTGGCATCAGCCTAGCTCACGGCAACCTCAAACTCCTGGGCTCAAGCAATCCTTCTGCCTCAGCCTCCGGAGTAGCTGGGACTACAGGCATGCGCCACCGTGCCCGGCTAATTTTTTCTATATATTTTTAGTTGTCCAATTAATTTCTTTCTATTTTTAGTAGAGACGGGGTCTCGCTCTTGCCCAGGCTGGTTTCGAACTCCTGAGCTCAAACAATCTGCCCGCCTCGGCCTCCCAGAGAGCTAGGATTACAGGCGTCAGCCACCGCGCCCGGCCCAAAGCATGAACTCTTAAAGTCTGTGACTTGTAACTTCGTTTTTGAAAAATTGGGTTAAATAAAATACTTGATAGTTAGTACAAAACTTGCTTATTATGGGCAGTTAGTTGAATTCCAGTTTGGTGCTAATGAGTTTTAGCTTGAGTCTAATCCCTCCTATCATCAGGTTATTCTAATTTATTCACCTGGTCAGAAATAGCTATTTTATGCATGTGTGCTTTTTGGTTACCACCAAATAACCGTGATTGGTTTAGTTTGAGTCCATCACAATTCTTAGAAAAATGACTCTTAAACTGCAGATTCTTGCCCTATTTTTGTCATATTTTGGCAAAACATCTCGCCTCTTTGGGCCTCATTTATTTACTCAGCAAATATTTCCTGAGCATATATTATACTTTGTGTCTGGTACTGTTCTAGGTGCTAGAAAAATGGAGTGCAATCTCTGCCCTCATGGTGCTTACATTTTAGTGGTGAAAAATAGACAATAGAAAGAAAATAAAATATATAATATGTTAGGTGATGATCAATACCACAGAGAAAAACGAAGTAGGGAAGGAGGATTAAGAAGTATGGGGTAGGAGTTGGGAGGCTGCCATTTTGAATTTGGTGGTCAGGGAAGGCCTCATTGAGAGATGACATTTGAGTAAAGACAAGAAGGAGGCAAAGAAGTAAGGCACTTGGGTATATATCAAAAGAGCATTCCAGGGAGAAGGAATAGCTAATGCAAATTCCTTGAAGCAGGATCATTTTTGATTTAAGGAACTGCAGGGAGACTGATTTGGATGCAATGGAGTGAACAAGAAGGAGAATAGTAGGAGGTGGGGCTTGTGAGGTAATGTGGGCCACGTAGTGTAGAACCTTGTGGACCATTATAAGGAATTTGGCTTTTACTCTGAGATGGGAAGTCATTAGAGGATTTTGAATAGAGGATATCGCAATAAAAACTAAAATAAACAAAGCCCCAAATATAGAATAGTGTCTGTATCACTCTAGCTGCTGTCTTGAGAATAGCTATGGAAGACCAAGGGCAGAATTAGGGTGATCGGTTAGAGGACTATTGTAATAATCCAGGTAGGAGATGATGGGGACTTAGGCTAGGATGCTAGCAGTATAGGTAATAAGTGGTTTGATTTTGGATATATTTTGAATTTTTGATAGTTTGGATGTGAAACATGAGAAAGTGTTGAGGATGACTCCATAGGTAATAGTCTGAACAACTGGAAAGATGGCATTGATATTAACTGAGATAGAGAAGACTATGGGAGGAGTAGATTTGGTAGGGAGGATGAGAATTTTGATTTGGGACATGTTTTAGTTTGAGATACATATCCAAGTGGAAATGTTATAGTCATTTGCTTGTATGAGTTTAGGGGGAGTGTTCTAGGCTGTAAGTATTATTTAATATTTTAAAATGACATGAGAATGAATACAGGTAAAACTAGGGAAATCTGAATAAGATTGGTGTGTTATATCACTGTTAATATTCTGGTTGTGATAATGTACTGCAGTTTGGCAAGAAGTTGTTATTGGGGAAACTGGGCAGAGAGTACATGGGATCTCTCTATAGTATTCCTTACAACTGCATGTGAATCTATAATTGTCCCAAAATAAAAATTTAATTTAAAAAAAGTCATGGGATCACCAGGCATACATATAGTAGAGGTAGATAAGGGGCAAGATCCACAGTGTGAGCTCTGGGGAATCATACATTGAGAGTTTAGGGAGAGGAGAAGGTATTGATAAAGGAACCTAAGAGAGTGTGGGCAGTGATGTGGGAGGAAAACCAGGGGAGTGGTAGTGTTCTTGGAGCCTCAGTGACCCTATTTGTAAAATTTAGGTGCTAACTTGTTCTAGGATTGTGGGGTTCTGTTATTCTATATTGGTTGTACCTAAATATCATAATTTATTCTTGTGAGAAGATGAATTTAGAATGCCACAAAACTCCAGTAGCAGAAACAATGACTCGACCTTGAGAAAATTAAATGCTCACGTTA